GTGTGTGTGTGTGTGTCCAACGCGAACGTGGTCTCTGGGAAGTGTTCTCGCACCCCCGGGGCCACGCACGCAGGAAAGAACCACGCAAAAGAACAGCAGGGCGGAGCCCCACTGGAGGCGCGTCCTCGTTGCCTATCCTCAAAAAAGTGTTTGATGCAGCTGCTTTTTGGGGCGCCTTCGCGTTTGCTGGGTGCAGGGTGTCTCCCTGTGCATGGATGTGTGTGTGTGTGGTGAGGACAAGGTGAGAGCCGCCCTTCTTTTTTTTTGTTTATTATTCTTCTAATGGTCGTTTTGCTTTTGTTGCTTTCATTCCGTGTTGTTGTTGTTGTTTCGCCAAACGTTTGCATTGCCAAGCAATCTCTACGTTGAAGATCACCAAAACTAATGAGCGACGAAAAGACCATTCTGTCAATTCAATCCTTTGTCACCCACGGCTATGTCGGCAACAAGGCCGCCACCTTCCCACTACAGTTGCACGGCTTTGACGTGGATGGCATTAACACAGTGAGCCTCTCTAATCACAGCGGCTACCCGATTATCCGTGGCCACCGCATGGACCTTCAGGAGTACGAAACTATAATGGAGGGCATTCGTGCGAATAACTTTCTCCCAAGCTATCGCTACATCTTGACTGGGTACATCAACAACGCCGACATTGTGAGGAAGATCCGGGACACAGTGGATGAAGTACGGAAGCTGCGTGAGAAGGAAGGAAAGAAACTGACATTTATCTGTGACCCGGTGATGGGAGATGATGGAATTATGTACTGCAAGGAGGAGGTATTGCAGGCGTACAGGGAGCTGCTTACGTTTGCCGACTTCGCAACCCCGAACTACTACGAAGCAAGTCTTTTGAGCGGCATCGATGTCACTGACATGAAGACTGCTCTGCAGGCGGCGGACTGGTTCCATAAACAGGGCACCAAAGGTGTGGTTATCAAGTCCTTCCGCACGAAGGAGGACCCTCAGAAACTCCAATTCCTCTTCTCTACCGTGGCAGCCGGCGGCAACGCACCTCAGCGCTTCACGGGCGTGGTTCCTTACCATGAGGGACGCTACACTGGCACTGGCGATGTTTTTGCGGCATTGCTTTTGGCCTTCTCACACCAGCAGCCAATGGAGGTGGCAGTAGGGAAAGTGATGGCTGCCCTGCAGGAACTCATCTTGGCGACGCGCAAAGAAGGCGGTGATGGGGCGAGCTCCCTGATGAGCCGCGAGCTGCGCGTGACGAGGGCGGTCCAATCGTTACTAAACCCCACCACTGTGGTTGAAGTGAAGCCGATGTGATCAACCTCACCCGCGTTTTAACCTTGTTCTAGCCACGGGTGGATGATTCGTTGGTTACACGTACACATTGCAAACCCACATCCGCTTTCACACACACGCACACATTCGCCCAGTGTTAGGCATGGAAGGGGAAAAATGTTTCTTTTACTATTGTTTTCTTTTTAATGGTTGTTATCAAGGCACGTCCATCTCTTACGAAGTACATTTTTTTCTCTTATTTTTTTTCAAACTCAAAACGAAAAAAAAATCAGGGATGCGAAGGTGACAAACAAATAAGCAAACAAGCAAACAAAGGGGGGGGGGAAGTGGTTACCATTGATGGTGTTGGTGTTCTCGGGCAAAAAAAGAAAGAATAAAAAACTAATAAGGTAAAAAAAAATTGTACCGCATTGTATTTTAATTATTTATTTATTTTTATTGAGGGATAACAATAAATAAATTGGAAGGCAACAAAACAAAACTTTACATCGGAAACGTGAAAGATGGCCAAAAGGGTGGAGAGGGAGTTCATTCATTCAGCTGTTGTTTTTTTTGTGGATGCGGAGCTTTCTCTTTCCCTGGAACATGCCGTAGTGCACTATTTTCGCCCGCTGTACAGCTGTTTAAAGTGATTGTTGGTTTTCCTTTTCTGTTTTTTTTTTCCTTTGGCGTGGCAGACGGGTTTCTTTCGTCGTTGTGAGAGACTAACCCGAAAACGTCTTTTTTTTTGTCCTCTTACAGGGCAACGCAGCTGTTGTGTGTGTGTGTGTGTCCAACGCGAACGTGGTCTCTGGGAAGTGTTCTCGCACCCCCGGGGCCACGCACGCAGGAAAGAACCACGCAAAAGAACAGCAGGGCGGAGCCCCACTGGAGGCGCGTCCTCGTTGCCTATCCTCAAAAAAGTGTTTGATGCAGCTGCTTTTTGGGGCGCCTTCGCGTTTGCTGGGTGCAGGGTGTCTCCCTGTGCATGGATGTGTGTGTGTGTGGTGAGGACAAGGTGAGAGCCGCCCTCTTTTTTTTTGTTTATTATTCTTCTAATGGTCGTTTTGCTTTTGTTGCTTTCATTCCGTGTTGTTGTTGTTGTTTCGCCAAACGTTTGCATTGCCAAGCAATCTCTACGTTGAAGATCACCAAAACTAATGAGCGACGAAAAGACCATTCTGTCAATTCAATCCTTTGTCACCCACGGCTATGTCGGCAACAAGGCCGCCACC